ATGTCTTTTAAGTAAATCACATGACCTTCCTTTTTTACGTTCACAAAGTATGCTTGATTTTATTATTCCAGAAATGGATTTTGAGCATAAACCTCTGGAATGTTCTACAAGTCCATTAACAAAAACACAGGTGTATAAAGAGATTGAGATGTGTAAGGGCCAGCCCTGGGGATTTTGGCACCTTAGGTGAGATTAAACTGAGGAAAATTATACTGTGATAATTATCGTAATCGTTTTATCGCCTAGCCCGACTTGTGTCTCTAATTAAGATTTATTCAAACCTTTCCAGCAACTCAATTTGTTGTTATACAATTTGCAGAATTATGCTACTGCCTGTTTTTTGGGCCTCTGAAATGTTCTAGCCTAGGGGTGAGCAATCTTATCCGCAAAGGGCTGGTGTGTATGCGTGTTTTTGGGATAACCTTTAGGTCAGCTGTTCGAACCCAGGTGTGAGGACTCTTCAGCCGATCAGTTCTCTAATTAATAATCTAATTAGGGAGTTGCAGCAAAAACCCGGGTACACACTGGCCCTTTGCGGATAACATCGGTCACCCAAGTTCTAGCCAGTTGAACAGCTTCCTTTAGCTTAGGTTAAACATAGCAGTCAGGTTTTCCTTTCTCAAATAAGAAGTCACATTTGTAGGTGACCATAGCACACAATTGAATTCTGACTTGCACAGTCCACAACACTTTTGTTTCTGGTCAAACCTAAATGTTAGCCCACGATTATTCTGAATGGTTGGTATAGTTTTTCCTAACCAAACATCAGCATCTCATGCAAATGTTTTGTGCTGTCCGTGGCCTCTAACCATGAAAAACAATGGCATATTTTACGATCATCTAGCAAAAAAAAATTAATTCCTGTAGATGCATTGACAATTCTAGACCTATGTAAGGGGGCTTCAGCCCACATATTCTTTGTCAGGCTCCCTGAAAATGTATACACAGCTCTGGAAAAAAATCAGGACATGACAGCATAATTTTCAGTTTCACTAAATTTCTCAGTTTATGGATATGCACCCGTGTAAAATATATTATTTTTTTGCAAACTCAAGCCTGGCTCTTCTCTGCTTCGCATTGATGAAGGGCTTCTTCCTTGCTTTATGGGTCTTTAGTCCTGTTTCTAACAGCCTGTTATGAACTGTCCTAGCAATGCACTTCACACCACTTAATGTTTCCCATTCTTTTTGAAGGTCACTTGAGGTCATCCTTCAATTTATGAGACGCTGCCAGATAACTTGACGTTCATCTCTGGCATTTGAAGGTTGCTTCTGCCCTCTAGCTGGCTGGTTTCTGGTTGTTTCCAATGTCTCCTGCTTCACCTTTATCTTTGTCTTAGAAGCTTTGAGCCTGGAAGCAGCCTGACTTGCAGTGTAGCCTCCTGCCAGCAGAACCAGGATTAAACCAGGATTTAAAAATGCAGATTTAAAAAAAAAAATATAGAGTGGTGTCTTAATTTTATTCCTGAGCTGTATTTATATTTACTTACAAAGACTTTCTGAGGTTGCTGAGCCCCCTAGGGGTCAAATCAAAGAATTGCCCCACATAAAGTATTTCTATGTATGCAGCCTTGTCAGACACAAAATAAGACACACTTTTTTTGGGCATTAAATAATGGCCCAATTTTCAGTAAACTGCATACCGCAAACCTTAACACATCACGTTGGATGGTTCATTTAATTCTCTCCACCCCAAAATTTTGCACGTTGAAAGGGAACTCCTAAAAATGCATAGGCAATATGTCCAGTCGCAAAATTTATTGCGTCTCTGCCTTTCCACTGCTAACTTTTCACTCTGTGTCTTTAGTAAATCCAGACGGTACTATTTTAATGCCAAAAGACGGTTTGCCCTGATCTAAACCTTTAGCATGCTTTGCTGCACCAGTACCTGTAAATGGGTGTCAGATCAGATGCCCTTGGACAGGGAACTGACTGGCCGAAACTAAAAATACTTTCTAGGGTACAATCAACCACATGACAGAAGATATCACACACACCCACACACACACCACCCAGTCGTGTAATCATATTTTTTTGGGGACCGCTCATTCATTTCTATGGGAAAAATGCTAATGCTAACTATGACAACCTTAACCCCTACCCAGCCCTAACCATGACCATAAGTAACCAAACAAAAGTTTTGGCATTTTTAGTTTTTTCATTGCAGTCAAGAATTTTTATAAAATAGAGTTTTCCCAAGGTAAAAAAAAGGGTATTCATGACGTTGTGGGGACATTTGGTCCCCACAAGGTAAGGTATACCTGGACACATACACACACACACCCATGCACACACAATCTTTCTGACCTTCCCAGCCTAGACAGAGACCCCCAGAGGTTTTGCCTTCACCTATATCAAATTATGCAGTTGTGTTTCCCGTCCTCCTCTCCTCCCTTGTCTTCTGGCTTTTATTAGCTATTCATTTACACAGCTGTCACCCTAAACTGTGACATGTTCGCAAATGACATTCTTTGACTCACTGTTAGGCAACCATGTTAGGAAAGGCACCGTATAAAAATAGATTGGAATTTAGTTATTGTTCTATATTTGTACATTAAACAACCTGGTAACACTTTACTTAAGACCATGTTTTAGTCATTTATAAACACATTCATAACAGATAATAAGGCATTCATTCAGCAGGGCTGGTCAGTGCCCTGGGGGCACCATCGGCAGGCTTCATCGCCAGTGTAGCCTGTCGGCAGGGCTGGTCAGTGCCCTGGGGGCACCATCGGCAGGCTTCATCGCCAGTGTAGCCTGTCGGCAGGGCTGGTCAGTGCCCTGGGGGCACCATCGGCAGGCTTCATCGCCAGTGTAGCCTGTCGGCAGGGCTGGTCAGTGCCCTGGGGGCACCATCGGCAAGCCAGTGTAGCCGTTTTGTGCCGCAGTCACCGAGGGCATGAGCACTTGTAGGGACACGAACAAGCCAATTTTACTTTGCCACAGACGGTGTGTGCTACAGGAAGTGAAATCGTGGCTCAGTCAGCACCCCTGAGAAACTGGCACCCTAGGCGGCTGCCTATGTTGCCTATAGGAGACACCGGCCCTAGGTGTCAGGTGCAGGACCGTGGTAATGGGCGACAAGGTTGCCTGCAGAACATATTTAAACTACTTCAAAATTCATTGGTGAATCATATGGTATGGAACAAATGGCAGTTTAGTGTAATGGAAACCAACTACACAAAATGAAAAGAATTGTGAAAAAAAAACCCTAATTGAAAATGCATAACTGATATTTTCATTAAAACTGGATTTTCTTTGGTTAATATGTGAACTGTGAGTAGCACCATGTTCTTCCTGTGTTGGCATGTTGTTTCCACTGGGAAGACGGGTTTCCTCCAGCCTCAAAACACACCGTATGGGTGGATTGGTGTTAGTGTTATATAATGATGATCTGCATATTTGCCCTGTGAGGGTTTAGGACATGCTCCATAATTGCTGGAACAAGTTTCAGACCCTCTGCATCACTGCATAAAATGTTTACGGATTTATGGTGTCCTTCACGTTCCCATAATGGCAAATGCTTGAAATCAATACATTTCTTTTTGAAGGAATGTGGCACCCTCTAGTGTTCAAATTAATAATCGACATTGAAATACATTCGAGTACATATGACTGCCAATAAAAAAATAACATTTGTAGTATGATATATTTCACCCCATACAGTAGCTCTGCTTGAAGGGATATCCATATGCATTTTTAATATGCAGTTCACCCATGTTTCCAGTTCTGTATTAGATGCATAGTATTTCCATAAAACTGATATTTCTGAAAAATAACTTCCCATTGTGTGATTCCCCAAAAGGGATTAAAGACAAATTAACTAATTTCTGCTTCTACTGCAAGATTACCAAAATGAAGGCAGAGTTTCAATTAAAAAACACACACAATCAAATGGCTCAGATTTCACAACTATGCTATTCTGGATTAGATAAATATTGTCTTTGGCAATTGCAGAAAAGGATATTTATGATTTCATTGTTTATTTTCTCGTTCAATTTATAAAATAAATAAATAAAAACAAATGATTGACTAATTATATTTGCCCTCCTCTTTTATTATTCTGTTTCACAGATTTGCCATAATTGTGCACAGATTTACGCTCAGATGTTGCAATGAGTAGCACAATTTACCTGAGATCTCACAGTCACAGAGTCTGTCCAGAATACTGAACCACACATTTCAATTTAAGGGTTAATCCATCAAAAGAATATAATCCCACACATGGAGATACAATGAAAAAGAACACCAGATGTTAAATATATAATTAATGCTTGACACATTATGTTTGTTGAAATTTTAAAAAATCCAGTGTTAAGACACCTCAGTTTAACATAACAGTACAACATAAACATTGACAAAAAAAAAAAAAATCCAATGACACCGGGATAATGAAATTTTAAAGGACTGTCAACAAAAACCTATTCAATTCTATTCTTCTACGCAATGAATGCAAATTTGGGCAGCTCACAGATGATCACCTCTTTCCTTTTCCAACCTATTTCTAGAAACAGCTAGGAATATATGTTACTGTTCTCTGAAAAACTTCTCATATATAAAATACTAAAGTATGGAAAAAAAGTATCCAACAGAGTCCCTGCTTGCACCCATCACTGAAATTGCAGTATGCAAAATTAGTGAGAAATGTCATTTTTAAATAATTAGCTGAATACAATTGAAGTTGTATTTTCATTTTACCAAAAAAATGTCAAATGTTTCCTTCAGTCTAAGCTGAAGAAAACACATTAAGACCAGAATATCAACTTTATTACTGTATATGCCTGTTTGAACATACCACTTATAAACACACAGGAAGTTATATTTCTCAAATCAAGTTACTTAAATGTTTTATGACCCTACAATGATTTTAACAACGGACAAATGAAATATTTAATGTTTGTTTAACAAAGTTAAAATACATGAAGGTTTGTGGATGAATGTTTTGACCAGGCAAATGCAATGAATCAAATACTCAACACATTAACAAAAAACATATGTAGGTTTCGCTTGATTAATTTTATTACGTGGAAGCAAATACTTATAATACAATGACAAAATGTCAAAAAATGCTATCAGATATCATTTATAGGATAATTTAGATATCCTTGTGATTACTTTCTGAAAATATGTACAGATGCTGTGGTCTATACATTCACCTTCGCGACCAGAGTGCTCCACAACGATTTCAGGTTTCGGAGGACAATAGGGGTAGAATGACTAATGATTTTACACTGCTGACTTCTCATGAATGATCCACAACTTGACTAGTGGACAAGGTTAAAAAATAGAATAATTTTGCATCAGACTCCTAAGCACCATGCATTCCCCCAAATCAAACTGAAATCAAAATATAGGTATTTGAAGTGATCTTTCAAAAGATGTGATGTGTTAAAATTACTGGTCGTACAACACTATTTAAAATTATTATAATAAAATCTGCTAAGTGACTGGCTAAATCCAGCTGGCTAGTTAACAATATAATTTTGGATGACGGAACTTATTCTTACAGCTAATTGAAGTTAGGATTGATTGCTGCAATACTTTAATGCTTATAATTCTTTTAAATAGATATTGACAACTACAACAAAAATAAACACTGCATTTTTGTTAAAAATTTTGGGTGAAAAATTTCATTGACATTTAGAAATAAAGTCAAATAATTATAGCAACACTGTGCTTTTCCATCCACACTGGGACGTTTCAGAGGGGACTTGCAGATCACTCCGGTCTTCAAACACTTGTAGTCCATCTGACTATATTTGGGTTTTGAAATCTTAATTAGATCACAGTACTCAAGTTTTAAACAAAATATTTCAATTCTGCAATGGGCAATTTTGCAGAATGTCTATTCACATGCACGAATTAATCCTAAAAACATTTTATTTTTCATACGATCTAAAGAGAACAGAACTGACTCTCAACTAATTTGTGAAAGCCCAATAGCCCAATTTTACATCCTGTGTACAAAAGACTTAAGTCTGTCCTTGAGGCAACCATGAAACTATTTGGCAGTTTTAGAAGGCACTATTTCTCTTTTTCTGCTTTTCTAAGTTCATGAGGTGCTTTTTGCAAATTACTATGGGCTAATTTTCAACGTATTTAACATTTTATACCATAATTCATCTTCTCTACATGTGCTGACAAAACTGGGTAAGAAAATACTTCAGTAATTCACTAGTGAAGTCAAATCTGAATCATTCTCACAAAGCGCTTTATGATTTGTTTTTTATGAACCACCTAATGACACGATGATGATTACGGAAACATGTTTTACACTGGACAGGGCAGCTGAAAAAAAAACATACAAAAGGCTTCATCCAAGGAGAGACTGGCTCCCAAATACAGGATGAGCTTCTCAATGACTCCAGTACCAAAAAAAAAAAGAAAAAAGGAAAATCTTGAATCCACAAACATGTTACTCAGAAACAGAAATTCTACATGGAAAACTTCAATGGAATTTAACAGAGTATAATAGTTATGAAATCTTGGTAATACATAACATAGAAAATAAAGTGCCACAACTTCCCTGAAATTGTAACATTTTGTTTAAGGCTTTCTTATATCAATGCCCTGCTTTGTTAGAGTCGATACTATTTTACAGTGCAGACTCAAACTAATTTTAGAGAAAATCTTTCTAACAATAACCATAAACTATGCACAATCATTGTTATTTAGAAAAATATACATAAAATGTACGCCATAGTGCTTCATAATAAAAGGAATTCGCTTTTCTTCCCTTCAGAAATAAATATGCGCTGCTTAAGGGCTACATACTAACCCGAAACCACTCAAAAGTTAAATCTACCGGCAATAAATTCCCACCGTTAGAAAATGGGGTCCTAACTAACATTACAGGGCTGGAGTCCGGCAGGTTGTAAAGACCATCTAGGTCAGCTAAGCCATGGATTAAACACTTTGGCTGAGAGACTCTGCTGCCTTAAGGGCCAGAATGAGACACGGATGCTACAGAACGTTGCATTAGCAGACAGAAGGCCTTCAGTTCCCTTTAGTGACCTTTCAGGAAGGACAGGATTCAGGACTCAGTAATGACAGTGTTCAGACTGGGAGATGTTCTGGGCTAGTGTTGCCCAGAACAAACATGTGATTCAGTTTCCATTATACATGCTTTCATAACACATCTAGTAGTAACATTAATAATAATAATAAATAATAATAATAAACATACATACATAAATACATAATGCATAAAACAAGCATCTACTAAGTCCAGTGGCTTTTACAAAACAAGCAAGCTTTAAATAAAAGATTGCATTGTATATTTAAAATAATTTCTTTATCTATAAATGAATTTGTTGTTGTCCCACTATAAAATATATAATAATAGAAATGCAAATATATTACTACTATGGGCATATTACACATGTTGAAAACCATAAGTGGTTCTAATACACAGTTAATAAAGACCATATTTAAATGTAAAATAATGATACATGTTAATTTTCATGTTGACATAATGTGCATCTTACACCATAAGCTTTAAGAATGTCACAATAATAGATACTTTTAGTGGGGGTTACAGATGTAAAAATTTGAGCAGAAGATGGAATTCAGAGAAAGGCATGCATAAGTTTAGAACACATTTTAAAGTCCCAATGAAAATTTGTTATTAGCTTATCATTACAAGTCATAACAAGAAATATTAAAAGTAACACTACCTTGTTAACATAACACAATTCTAAATAGAAAACTTAAACAGAATTAGTGCACAAACAGTGAATACAGTGTTTTAAATATCATCCTATGCCTTCCCTCAAATGTCTTATTAGACATTTAATTGCTGAAAAGTTAATAATAGAGCAATTCACAGCCTGTAATTTATTTAAACAGTTACGTGTCTGTGGTTTATTTCACTTTGAATAATAACTTCTAAATAACCCTGGGTCTAGAAGACACAGTTTCCCATACAACAATCGTATGGTGCTTTAAATGTATAATGAACTGAATTATTCCAATGTTCTCAGCACAGAAACCTTCCCTTAACAGGAGAAACATGAGTTTTGGTCTAATTACAAAAATGACTACAGATAATTAGCACACACTCAAAGTCAGTCTCTACAAAAATTTTAAAAATACACTGAAAATAATTTGCATTAAGCCAATGAAAAATAATTGTCTTCACAATTTAAACATAAAGCATTATAGTGGTGAGTGTCAAGAGTGCAATTTTTCAGCAGCATTAACTGGTGACGTTACATGTTTTCTGGAAACCAACAATAACTAAAAAACGGACAGTATGGGCGGACTGCCAATGTACATCAATCTGGAGATTGCAAGAATATATTTGCTTTTTCAAGCAATGGTTTTTAAAGCTTGGTCTTGGGCCATTTTTGCATATGCTGGTTTGGCTAAATGGTTATTAATTGGTTATGATTGCTGCAGATTAAATGATTATTATGATTTATCCTGATTTTTCTCTTTATAGAGATGTTTAAAAACACATCTTGCTCTTAATGTAATTATACAGTACAAGATGCATTAATTATTAGATAGGTAAAGTACCTTGAACAATGAAATGAGTGGCTAATTTATCAGAATAAAACTCAATAAAAATTTTCATGCAACTGCACCCATATTACTTTCCTTAAAGGAGCTTGCAAAGTTAGTATCTTCTAAAAAATCTTGATTGTAAACTCCATTAATTAAGAGATCAGTCAAGCCAGCATATGCAGTGATTCTTCAAGAATGCTTTGAGAACCACAGGTTTAAATTAAAAGCAATTACTTGCTCTGATTGCAACAAAACACAACAAGGCAAGATCGCGAGATGGTCATATTTTTAGTTACCCAGTGGGAGAAGTATTTGTACAATCCTTTTTGGTCAAAAATAAATATGGAAATAAATAGATCCAGCATTGTATATTTTCATACAAATCAAATTAAATCGAAGACAAATGTGAGAGGATAATTTGATTAAGACTAAACTCGTATATCAAAATGGCCCTCATCTTACACTGGCTACCTCCTTTCATAGTCTTGCCCGGAATGAGAAGCCTTCCCCTGTTCTCTAAGTGTAGCCCAGGTTCTCCATCTCACTGCGGTACCGCTGCTCTGACACCTTGCTCTTGTGCTGCTTGCTTTCGAGGTGCAGGCGGAAGTCGGCCTCCTCGCTGGCCCCGGAGTTGCACATGGAGCAGTAGAACTGGCCGCTGGGTGTCACGCACATGGCCAGGTCCCGGGGGATCCTCTGGCGGGGGCGTGGGTGGTAATACGGACCTGGGGGACACGCGAGTGGGGAACCTTGTTAAAAAGGAAATTCTAGTTTCCTCACTGCCAAAATTAAAGAGTCTATTTATAAAACCTTGGGGTCCTCAGTTGTACCATGAAGCTGGGCTGGGCAGACAGGGTGGAATCAGATTCCAGAGGAGCAAAACAGTGCATCACATGGCAAATACCCAACATCCTCATGCCTTTGTTAGTATTTTTCAAGGCAAAGTCACTGAGGTATTTCTGTTGGCTACCCATCATGCCCTTTGTCTGTCTGAAACATAATGGATTGATCACTCTAGTCTAAAGATATTTTTTAAGCTAAAGCTAAGAATTAAAGTATAAAAAATCCATCCATCTGTCTTCCAAGGGGGCATGACCTGCAGTCGATCCTAGGCTGCACTGGGCGCAGGACTGGAACACACCCCTGGAAAGGATGCCAATCAAATTATAAAACACAGATATTCATTACGCACAGTTCCATACACTCTCTAAAGAAAAGGCCACAAAGCTGTGAACTTCCAGTTTTGCTTCATTGTCTCGTCAGCCTTCACATTCGACATAACCTAGTAGGTGTCAGTGTCCTATCCTGCCACCTTATTAATATGCGAGAAGAAAAAAGACATCTGATGGCTATAGTGTTATTTCAGACAGGAAGTGATGTCAATGCCAGGTCACAACCAAAGCATGAAGTCTGTTATGAAAGTGTAAGTCATGGGTGTCAAAGTTTGCCAGTGCAATAAACAATTAGCACAGAACCATCTATGCTATTTATATTCATGAACTAGAATAGAGACTCAGCTTTTCACATTAAAGTTGCCACAAACCAGCCAAGAAAAAGGCATTGGCATCAGCAGACCTTGCTATTTACTCAACCAGCTGGCAGGAACAGATCTAGGAAGGTTATTTATGTCTCACTAATTCATAATTTTTACACCTATCTTATTGAATCAGTCATTTAAAAAAAAAATCAGCATGAGGTCATGTAAAGTCTGCTAGGTAGGGTTACAGAGTTATTTTAGCTCAGCTTTTAAATATCAAACACTGTACAAATATAACGTCTCTGAATTTCCACCTCAGTGTTCCTGTCTTCTGCATCACTGAAAATGCTCTTTAAATGATTTTGTTTGTAGAACATCATTAGCAGCTCGGTACCCGTCTAATTCCTTACCTTCATGCATGGCAAACTACAACACGAATCTGTTCACAATTTAATTGGACATATGTGCATATATTCAATCTTGAATTCATCTGACATTTGAATTTAAGGCTACATGTCATATAGTCACCAAAAGGACTATATAAAAAATTTTCATGTGCAGCTGTCATACGTCATCATATTAACTATAGCAGGAATCCTCATCTAAATTTTATATATCACATAGGAAATTAGAAAATATAAAATTACACAATGTCCTAATCAGTTTCTACGTGCATCCAACTAATTTCTAGAAATGCATGGTTAATAAGATTCCTGTAGAAAATTTTGTTACAATGAAGGTTACCTTCCAAATGTTCATAGCAAGAAGGAATCAAGGGAATCAGAGACTGTTGACCATAATTGGCTATGGAAGTGAATGTTAATAACACAATCAACAAGGTGTTACCAAGAGTTAAAGGTAATTATGTACACATGAAAATTTGAAATGCATGCAAAGCTTGGCACAGGGATCTGAAAACCGCATGGTGCTGCTGCGGTGATGGTTATATAAATAATACCTGCAGACTTTTTCTTCTTCTCCCAGAAAATGAAGTACAGACTTTAAATCCTTATTTCATTGTCTGTTAATGGTGTAATCCCATTTAAATATATATATATATAGCTAGTCCAGTATACACATGTATACCTTTCAAAAGAGAATATTACAAACGCTGAAGCAATACTTAATGTTAGCTAGATATTTTCATGTCACGGAATCAATCTGCACATAGGTCAGGTCATGCTAACAAATGCCCAAATGGCAGAAAAACTAGTGCATTGTCAGTGTGACCAGGGCATTAGTTTGACTGGAATGGAAGGATGCTTTCAAACAAGGCTTAAGGAAAAAGACAGTGACAAACTGCTCATCAGCAAGGAGAGCACATGGTGATGTACCTGAAACGTTGGGAGGCACATTCCTGCGATTCCTGATCGGTTTGAACTCATTTCCTTCTTTCCTCTGCCACCTTTGGCTCAATTCTGATGAGTCTCTGTGAAAAATAAATAAATGATCAAATGAATGAATGTATGAATGATTGAATGAATGAATTATATGAATATTGCTGCAATGTTATCCATGCCCATTTAAGGGTATGACGACAGACTTGACTTTATTTCCTTGGTTAACTTATTAACTTTATTTGAATATGCAAATGTGTCATAAATGTGATGCAGTGGTAGCTGCATAGCTACTATGTCCTGTTTTAGCAACATTAAATGATTGTCTGACTGTTTAACTCACCTATAGGAAGAGCTCTGGAAGAGCCTCAATTAATCATCGTTTACAACTAGTTGTTAAAACTAGCTTCTGAGATAAAAGAAGTTACCAAGCTGAAAAATGCACAAGAATGTATCATTAATAAATAAAATTACAATTTTATACTGTATTTCTGTAACATAGAGTCATCAGTTGAGACACCAGTAATTGGTTATTTATTGGTTATTTATTTGCAAGAAACTCAATGTCATTTCACAAACAGGGTAACTAGTGCTGAGTTGTATCTTAAAAAACAAAAAATACAACATTTTAATTTAAAAATATCGGGTTGAACAATAATATTGAGTTGTCCACTCCCCAAACCCTCCAAAAACACACACACACACACACACATACTGTACACACAGAATCGGGTAAACATATCTTTATGAGGACCACTCATTCATTTCTATGGGAAAAATGCTAACGCTAACTATGACAACCTTAACCCCTACCCAGCCCTAACCATAACCATAAGTAACCAAGCAAATGTAAGTTTTTGCATTTTTAGTTTTTTCATTGCAGTCACAGATTTTTATTAAATTGAGTAATAAAAAAAAAAACAACGGGTATTCATCACGTTGTGGAGTCATTGTGTCCCCATAAGGTACAGTATACCCGCTCACACACACACACAGTCACACACACACAAACAAACACTCAGCTCAACAATAATCTATTATTTTTTTAAGATTAAGCTTGACATATGATCACGTAATAATTTTTAGTATGGGGCGGTGGTGACACTGACAAAGAGTGAAGGCGTGGCTGAATATGCTGCATGGTTACTGTTTACGGGGACAGCTCTCTAAAGTGAACAGCAGACGGAATTGCCGAGCATACTGACATTAGTAAGTAAGGGTTAATGCACAACAAGACAGCTGTTATATGTTTTTAAAACATGCTTCATGTCGGGTGGTTCTTTGCCTCTGCAGCCATTATGGGCAATTCCTGACTTAGTTATTGTTTACTGATTACTAAAGGCGGAGTTACGTGCCATCTTGTTTAAGCAGATTAAACAAGACTGTGAAGTCTGACTGGACTACAAGTACATTACGTCAGTAAATGAATTTGGTATGTAATCGTTGACCACAGATCCTGGTCCTCAGCTTGAAGAACTATTGTCGTCTAAGTGATCTGCACAATTTCTTTGCTTTTATAACTCCCATTAAAGGTAAGGTTAGTTATAATTAAAGAATACAGCTGCATGTTGATCGATGATTCACCTGGCTGGCACAACGTGTGCGGTTATAGAAAACTGATCAACACCGTTCATATTCGAGAATTCAATAGTGCCAGTATAAGCACTGGTTAACATCGGCATCAGTAAATTCTCACCCAGCCTTATTAAGGGTTAATGCACAACAAGCCAGGTGTTATATATACTATGAAGTAATGCAAATTCGACCCGACTGAGACCTAGGGCAAGAAACTGAAACTATTATACTTCAACTAATAAAAAAGCAGGCAGTTACATACCACAAAGAACAAGCTTTTAAAACTAATTAATAGCCTGGCCTGGTTGATCTAAAAATTGCCAATCTTTTTTTTTCCCTCCAAATTTTGGCTAGAACCTGGTTCCCTACCATAAATAAATGAAGCTGTAAAGAATAAAGTCATAGGCCTTCGGTACTGTGTCTCTACAGAGAATCCTTGGGTACGGCTGGCTTGACTTTGTGTCGACTGAGCGGTTGCTAGAGGAGTCCCGAATGAGGGACATTGCCTGCATTGTGAGGGAGTGTCAGTTACGGCACTACGGCCATGTGGCGCGTTTCCCTGAGGGTGATCTGGCTCGCAGGATCCTCATTGCTGACAGGCTGAGGGGACGCCCACGTAACACCTGGCTGCGGCAGATGGACGGCCATTTACGGACGGTGGGACTGGACCGTGTATCTGCCTGGGGGGTCTCTGGCCGGGATCCCCAGGAGTTTTGCTGTGCGGTGGGTGTGGCAACGCGCTGCATCAGCGCATGTTCCCCAACCTGACCTGACCTGACCTGGAGTTTACATATTTCTACACGTTTGCTTGTCCATCTTGCTTTACTGCTACATGTCTTTGTGCTGGCATATTGGATTTCTGCTGCCATGTGTCATGAATAAAACTGCTTTTGCAGAATCCTGGTGAGACTCACAGGTAGGTGGCGCTCTGCTGGGCCTCGGCGAGCCTCAGTCTTTTTGCGTGGTTCTTCCCCTGGTAATGCGCCTGTGCTACGGCGAGGGAGCTGAAGGAGGCGTCACACAGCTTGCAGTAATCATTCTCCGTGGCCAGGATCACTCGGCTGGCTCCCTTCGATTAAGTGGGTGCAAAAGTTAAGGTTACTGATGATGCTCCTTCTGCAGAGTTAGAACCAAATCCAATTAAAGCCCCCAATACTAAAAAGTGACAAAAATTTACAACTATACCCATGAACCAAAGGCGTGCCTTTATCAAATCTACTTAAACATCATTCCAGTGTTATCTTTGTTTCAAGTTTTAATTTAAAGTTGTATTGTATTCCAGGAACACAGTGAATTTCATTTGCCACAGAAGTGTGTGTGTGTGTGGGGGGGGGGGGGTGAATGGGGTATAAGATAAACAGTAGTGAATAATAAAAGTGAAGAAACACGATATAAGAAAGTAAGTATAATAATGAATAAGTAATAAGTATTGTGATATGCGGATGAGGTAGTTACATGGAATGAGCAGATTGACAATAATACAATATTGTTGAGGAAGTGCAGGTAGTACATTAACAATACATGTGATATGCATCTTCATATGCAACAAATACTTATTTTTCTGGAAAAGCTAATGCCTCCCTTATGAACACTTTCTAAAGGGCTCAATTAAAAAATATATTTAACCAAGTTTATTGTGGGATTGCATCTTAATTTGGGCATCGATAAGCACACACACACACACACACACATAAAACAGCTGATTAAGAGGTCAAAATACAGGCGTACTGCAACCTACTTTATAAAAATTAACATAACAGTAAATTATACTTGTTCTATTCAATAATTATTTTAATAGTATATACTTCACTATCATTTTCAGAAACAATGAACAACACAATGTCAAGAAAATAATTAAACGTTCTGGGATTTGCACACATTTACTTTGCACTGTTTGTACCTGCTTGCATGCCGTAGCACTTTCCGTTGGTGGATTCGTTAGGGGCTGTAAGGAAACGGGCTCTGCTGCCTCCGTTATTCTTAAAGGAGGAGGTTGCTGACTGCCAGCATAAAAATTTCTTAGTTTCTTACTGTGGTTTTTACCCTAAAAAGGAAATAAATCACTATTCAGTTTCTGTTTGCTTCCATGATAATTAAAAAAAAAATTGACAAAACATATTATCACACCGTACATTGAAACATATCTATTAGGGCTATCATTATCGATCATATTAATGTTTGAGTAATCTACTGATTACTAAGGCGAATAATGAAGTAACCATTTAATTAATATATATAGCAATTGATATGAGGTGGGAAGCAACCCCAGACAGACAGAGCACAAGGCCATCGCAGGGTGCAGTCGCTCACTCACACACATGGTCAATAGAGGCACTCCAATTCACTCAAGTTGAATGTTTTGGGACTGTGGCAGGAAACTAGAGGCTCTGGCGTAAATCCACGCACACATGCTAAGAACATGAAGACTCCACACACATACAGTGGCAGTCTGCAGTGACAGCTCCACCTACTGTGGCACGGTGACATCCTAAACACGAGGCCTGCACTATGCGCAATGCTAACATCAACATCCCATATCAACATCCCATATCAACATCCCATGAACATACACATGCATTTGTCCCATTGGAAGAACGGCGACAGTCAGTGGGTTAAGACACTAATTTCCATGAAAAGATTTTCACTTTGTTGTTGGAATCAAAATTTAGCAAGCTTTGCTATTTTAATGACGATTCCTTTTCAACATTTTCTCATATAATTATGTTAAAAAAGAGGCTAAAGTTTACCGCCACTGCTTTGGCATGAGCTTTTCCTGCCTGCGGCCTTGTGCCTGTGACTGAATCACAGCCGTGATATACTGGAGTACAACCACACTCCGTCTTGTATGTTATTGCTTAAATATCTTGAGAAGGACATTTTCCAAGTAATTAATAATAATATTCATAAATATGGTGGAAGAAAAAGACAAAAAAGAAAGTTTTGGGTATACTACTGGAACTCCTGGTCCATCACAGAGAACTAATGGTTATGTCCATCTATTTGTTGATGCAATAAAATTCTCCCAAACACCTGCTACTGCTTCATATAAAATCATTATATGTTCTAAACCTCCAAATTAAATTAAGGTCATTTAGACAAACTTGATACTGGAATCCAGTATGGCCACTACAATAACCAAAATACCTAAACAACCTGTCAAATTGTCAAATTTCAACTCAATAAGTATAATACCACATGCCACATTAGTTACTACAAAAAGAATTTGGCGATGCTAACTAGTTATTCTTATTTAAACTGCTGTATTTCCCAACACCCTTGGCCCTGTGAACAATTATTTTTTCTCTTGAATGAGCTTTAAGAAATACACTGAGATAAAGCTGTCAGGACAATATACCTGCTGCAGTAAGATTGTGACAACCTGACGAGCTTATCCCAGGACTAGATCTTGACTGATTTTCAAATTTATTATTATTATTATTATTATTATAATTATTATTATTATAATTATTAATATTATTTAAACATCACACAGATGACACGGGTTAATCCATTGTAGGGTCCATCAGCATGCATCTATATATTCTACGCTCATACTGGGGTGATAAGGTGAATGTGAGTTCATGAAGCAATGCTTGCCTTGAGAACATCATTTTCAATTAATTAAAATGCTATATCTCACTGTTTTGCATCTAATCAGGCAATTGTGACTATATGGCTTGCCACCTTATTAAAACATAAATCTACATAAAAAATTAGTAAACACAAACTTTTTGCTGTTTTGATTGTATTGATGAACTGCTGACCAATTTACATTCAGGCAGCTGTGAAATTTGTCTTCTGGAAGAAACAGCAGCACGATTACATGTAAGACTAAAACCAGCAAGAGGCAGACGATGACTAACCTGATAATGTGCCTGAGCCTGTTGGGCTGAATTCAGTGTGACGTTGCAGAGCTTGCAGTACAAAGGCTTACAGAGCTCCTCCAGGGTGATTTCCTGCTCCCCTCCCCCTGCCTGACACTCCTCCTCCTGAGCCTTGGGACTAGGGGGGGGCAAAGTAGGGGCAGGGGACCTATGCAGAATTTGGACATAGGGAGGGGATTTGGCAGACAAGGGAACGGACAGAGAAAATGGTAGGGGATCGGAAGGAACAACTACTGGAGGCCCAAGCGGCTGAGATGGTGGCATCGTCTGGAAAGGCTGCTGTTGTGGCTGGCACATTAGATTAATGGGTGGCTTCAGTACAGGATCAGGACCTGAAAAACAATTCATCCAGGTTACACATTTGTTCTGACTGGATTTCATCACAGCTAGTTTTGGGGAAGTTATGTAGCTGTTGAACTGACATGCATGGCTTTTCTAGTACTCCTGTCATTGAATAGAGCAAGCATCTCTTCGATTCATTAAAAATTTAACATTGGTAAAAGACAAGGGCTTTGTAGCTTGACCCTAAAGAGAAAGAAAAAATAGGCCTAATAACAGAAGGATGCCTACACCTGTAGATAAAATGTTATTTCAGTGTCTTTGTTAGAGCCTGCTTTGCTTTTAAGTTTGCTATTGTATGCTTAATGCAACTAAATATGTATGTATAATTTAATAAAAATGAGATTCACCTTGTTACTACGCTATTAATGCGCCTTCATTGTTTCACGATTTTATCCATTTTCTGTATGACTTTCAGCTTTATTGACTCATTATCTTAAGTACTACTATTAAGACAATGTGATAGAGGGTGGGTATTGGGTCTACTTGTTTGTGAATTTGATTTGCACCACATGAGGACTTCCACAATTTTCCAATACAACATAACACCTATATAATATTATTTTACAAACAAAAATGTAGATTTTGCTTTCTATGTAATGGCACTAGAAGTCAAACCAGAAATCACTATTACTTTGGAGGGTACTAAACCAAAAATAGAGGAAGGACCTACATACGATCTCAAGGTTGAAGTATGTCAGAGCCCTACTGCAGATGCACTCTATGTGATATAATGATAACGAGTAGAAATATTTTAACTTTAGGAGTTGATGATGGAATAAGTTACACTCAATCTGTGTGGAAACTTTTTTTGTCCTTATCATACAAGTGTGAAAAAGACCTACAACGGGATGGTGTTTTACCCAAGGCTCACCTTGTTCTGAGCCAGGAATAAGATGAGAACTTTCTGAAAATGGGTGACCTGATCTACAATAATAATATACATCTGCGTAATTACTGTATTTATAAAGATAAATGAAGGATGCAGAAACACTCCCAAAATCCCTCCCTTGAAATCTGTTCTTGAAGAAGTATTTAAGTATGCATAAATACTTCTATGATGCACTTAAAATGAGTATTATATCAACATATAAACTATTAAACACTACTAAATAAATGCAAAGGTCCGCAGGATGGGTATAACTGCTAGGGAGCCCGTGTTTCTGAGACACCTGTGCACGGTCCACCTCCGGGCCGCGGGTCGGTATACGAGACCGTCTGGGGGGGAGGGGCGCCGGCAATTCGGATTTTTACAATGAAACCTGATTTTTTATGCTTTAAGGAGTCATCATTTACACACGTTAACATATTACAAGTGCAGCTCTGTACTTATTTAGCAATGTGAGGATCTGGCAAAAACTGAAATTCATTACGGTTTACTGGCATTTTCACTATAATGAAACGCCCATCGTTATGTTGACGATACTGTCGACGGCTGTACAACATATCCAGGAATATAAATCTATATATATATGTATACATCTATATATATCTTCCATGTATAACGTTTTACGGATCAGTTAAGTCGTGCAGTTAGCTGGACGCGTAGCCATCTAGCTAATGCACAGTGCATCACCGAAATCGCAGTCTCTCCGGTCTCAGAAAAGGAGCCATACATTGTCAACCACGGACGTTCCTTACCTGCTAAGCCAGGGAAATAGGTGCTGCCAGTCCCGTAATTTAGAGGCTGAGGACTGTGACTTCTAAAGTGATCATTACTTTCATAATAAGCACCACTATTTTTCACATTCATCGCCATCTTCACCGCATCCTTAGCGAACTTCTTCCAGCCAGACGTAGATCGGGGTTTCGTATTTTATTATGGCCCAGGAGGGGGAGCGTTAACAAAAGAGGTTTCGAGAACAAATAATAATAAAAATAAGGTGATCCCATAGAATATAAATCAACCACTTATTCTGTAGATGTATAATTATAATACGAAACAACTGTCTAAATACTATAGATAATACAGCGAGTAAGATTGATATGCTTGTGTACCATCAGATTTGGTATCGTCCATTTCCTATAACAACGCGCATACAGTATAGCCCACGAGTTCGTTTAATAAATATTGCTAAAAGACGTGGAAATCTGCAGTGTAAACCAGTATTTACAAGATGACTTATAAAGACTGGACATTATGGAAAATAAAAAAATATGCTACTGTACTTCAGCAGGACAACTTCAAAACAAATTTAGTGAGAACGGATACGTACAGATTTTTAAATAATACCAAGTAAATTCGCTACTGAAAACTAAATAATTCACTATACTTCGTGCCCATGAAGTGCTGTACAATAATGGGGTGTACATTATTAATATTATTATTATTATTATTATTACACACTTATGAGGCATATTTTTACTTCTCAAGCTCCGCGCGTTATGCAACGAAACGTATTATAATTGACAGTATTCCTGCATCACAGTTATTCGAGATATAGTTTTGCTACAGTCATTATCAAGAAATGGTGTCATATGACTCAGATGAGGTCTTGCTTTTGGTGAGAATGTTTGAATCACGCGAACACAGTTACTTTTCTTAATTACACGTACGTCTATTAACTTGATGCCCATAGTCAATGAAAATTGACAGTAACATATTTCGTATGTGTAACGCTGAATTAAAACAGCTTAATGTATATGATACTACGACACATTGATTTACTCAAATAAATATTTGTTTTATTCTTAATAGTAATTTTAGCACGTGTTTATAGAGATGCATTATATGTAATCCATGCTGTGCTTTTTGTATTCGCGTGATTGTGTAAATAAATGTATGAATATGAGATGCATGGTTATAATAAACAAAAACAATATATGCCATTTAAAATGCATAAATGACCCGGGGACACACAAACACACGTGATTGTCGATTAGTGAATAAGGAATCACTATACCCTTTGTAATGAATGAAAACATCTTAAATTGGTATCTTAAGTACTTGTTATCGCATTATGCAATAAACATATTGAGAAGACTTGCAAAACGTCGTATAATTTGCAACACGGAATACGAATGTTTTACACGTACCGTTCTTCTATAAATACTAAGACGTATTTAGTTTAAGACTTAAAATAAGACGCCTAACAGTAATAGAGTATACATTCCAGAAGTGAAATATATATACCAATTTAAATAATTATGCAGATTTGCACTGCGAAGTACATTAAATTTATGTTAACAGATTAACTTAATTGATTGCATTATCCAATATATAAAATTATTTGAGCAAAAGCTACTGACACACTGGACTCAAGTACAGTAACAATCCCCATAGCGTCTGTGCTGCTGTGGCCCTTTATATTCCCGGCATCCCGATGGGAGGAGTTTTAAAGGAATTCTCGTTAACTGATCATATTCGCGCGATAACGTTTTAGGGCTGGAAAAAGCATACAAACAAATCGCATGTTTGTTATTTTTGTTTGCGGTTGCTGTTCGGATAGCTGACGATTTCCCTGTTATAGATAATTTGCAAGTAATATTCACTTACAAGTGTTCAGTGAAATATTAGATTGACTATTTTATAAAAAAAACCTATCAGATCATTCAGCACGGACACGTGAAAAACACCGAATGTGTTTTCGCCATATTTCTGTTCAAGAAAAACAAGAGGAGTTGTGGTTGCTATGGAGAAGCTGCGGCTGTCAAACCGGGGGTAGGCCGCAGCCTCGGACTGGAGTTTCCTCAGTGGGACGAAAAGGTTGGGCTGACTGGGGCAAATTTTGTAAATAAAAGCAAAAGGTAGGTCCAGCTTCACTGTGGAACAGGTAGCTAACTTCCCGCAAAGGACCAAATACAAATAAGATAATTTATAGACTGATTTGTTGCCGGACATTTAAATGAAGCAGCCTGTATATTTGTTGGAAAAAATGCACCAATAATATAGTAAGTGGCTAGCCAGATAACTAATTGATTTAACGTCATTATAATGTATCTTTCACAAATGTATTTTTTTTTTTTTTTTGTCGATTACGTGTAGATTGCTGACGTTTGGAAAGGCAGTTTGCTCAGCTACCGTAGTAAAAATGTGTCAAGCTTGCCCGAGATATCCTCGACACTATATGGGGACATCCTTCCCCCCAGTGTGTCGTCAGTTTGTATTGATTCTTAGTGATATGTTGATGTAGCCTGGTTAAGCCCGATAAGTGTTTAGCCTAAGATCGCGCTGCGTACTTGTCACTCATGTCAAGCAATGTCCTGTCATGAATAACTAGGAAGGTAAAAGTCATTAGCCAAGCGAGTAAGCTAGCATCATCATCATCATCATCATCATTATTATTGTTGTAGTTGTTAGTGTTATTGTTGTTATTATATAATTCTCAATGTTAAGCAAAACGAATAAACAAACGCAGCGCAGGCGACTTGATTCTTGCATGGTTGTTATTTTGTCCCCACGTTGTGCATGTTCAAAGGAAGATCTCGCAAGCTGGCTAGTTAACTGCAGGTGAGGCAGTGGCCGTATCAGTTTAACTCAGTATTGCTCATCAAAACCAGTTTTGTTTATTTCCTTACAATACGGTGTCCTGTAACATGGTAACAGTGGGAAAAGCGCAAGTACGTGAAGATCATAAGACAGTGTGGATGTTTTGGTCAGAGTTATTTACGTAGTTGGCAATATATATGTGATTATATATTTATTATATATGGCTTTTGTTGTCCGGACTTATAAGAAAATTGCAGCAGTTGTTGCGGGTCTGTGTGCATTTTATTTTACTCTTAAATTGACTGTGTACTCGTTTGTAGAGCATCAATAGATTGTTTGTTTATGTTTGTTAATACAAACATTTTTACTTATACGTGTATATTTCATTATTATTATTATTATTATGATATAAAGTATTAATATAATGCATATAGGAGAACTATACCTTTTCCTAGTTGTTTTTTAAAGATGTTTCAAAAGCAGCTTTCTTAACGGAGATATCCCGGGTTATGTAAATACAGTTATTAGTAAAACTCACCTTGTTTTTTGTTTGTGACAGAAAATGACGCTATAGCGCGACATTGCCAAAATGTAGTGGAGATTGTTGGTGGTTTAAAATACGAAGAAACCACCATCCCTTAATGAAGTTCGGACCATTTGCCCAAGGTAAGCTAGTCAGGTGTCTGGCAGAGTGCAGGTTCATGCATTGTTGTTAACTTAGAAGCAAGTGTCTGTAACCAAGTAGGTCTAGTTGCAGTTCCCAAAACTGGCATTTCTGTTCTGACTTTGAGTAGGACAATTATTATGAATTGTTTTATTTAGAATATTTAGTCTAGTTATACAATGCTATTTTTTATTTTCTTTAAGGTTCTCTGAGGTCGAAAATGCAGACATATTTTTGTGTTTTATATCCTGAATTTTGTAATCTCATACGAACATTACTTCAGATAGATATTGTCATAGAAAGTGATAACCTTTCTATTTTTGTTATTTTGGAAGTGTTATAATCACTATTTATATCAGATGATTGTGCTCATCTTTCTTATACTGAATTACCCACTTCATTTTAAGCTTAAAGGCCACATATTTCGCTGTTAATTGGTATAAGCCACTAAGTGGTCAAATTTTTTTACCTTGGATAAAGAGTGCATGGATGCCCAGTGCATTTTTCATGTTTGATTTAATTTTTTTTTAATTTAATTTGTGTAGTGTTATCTTGAAACTGAACAAAATTATTAGTAGGTTATAGTGTTTTGTCTCTGTGGCAGAGATAACGTTGTCTGCCAAATGCCAATTAAGTAGTTTGCTGGAAATGCTAGATGACTTATTTTAATCTAGCTAGCAAAACTAAGTATATTAGATCAGGGTTTTTCAACCACTAGCCCAGTGAGTGGCCCTAGTCGGCTATGGATGTATATTACGTAAATGTAGTTTACCAGTAGGGACCCAATCAGTGGACAGAAAAAATTATCGCTCTGCAAAATGGGCCGCCAACACTTTGTAATGGTCAACAGCCCTTGAATTAGATAGGAAACAGCAGAGAAATGCATACAAGAGAGAATGTGTAAGTGTAAATGTAAACTACGAAATGTGTATCTAAGATGGGTGGTATCACAGTAAACCGGTATACTGTGGTTCTTTCAAATCTTGCTTTTGAAAATGCAGTGAAAATACTGTATACCGCAGTATAATGTCTGGAAGGTATGACTATGAAATATAGATACCACACAAGCCTGTGTGACTCTAAGCAAACTTGCATCAATGCACAGTAAAGGCTGTCTGAGCTACTGTACATACACAGTAAAACACGCAACATAATAGAGTTTACACTTGCAGTGCTCTTGCATTTAATGCATAATGTAGTATTCTTGCATTTAATGCAGGTCAAACACAAAACAATCGCTCGGGGAAGTCTGGAAGACTTTCTCTTTGACATACACATGAATGACTTGGGCAATAAGAATATTGTGTAGTTACTGGCAATGGGGGAGAGACGGGATGTGTAGCAGCCAATACTCATGGTTGCTTTCCCAAAATTCAGCAAGAAAGTGGAAAGAAAATGCTAAAGGCAGACAAAGGTACAAACAAATAAAAATCAGATGACAATCGGTTATTTTACTGGATGCTCATTTCAGCCAGATATTTGATTCACCCCTTCTTCAGCAATACAGCTCCACGTGTTTTTCTGCTTGCCAGCAGAATGCAAATATAATGTGACTGTCAACTTCTTTCCAGCCAGTAAAATGTTATTTTTACCAACTGTTAAGCTTGTCACTATTGTCTAAAATGAAAGCACTGGGGTACATGGACAGATCTATACAAAAGGTCTAATGCCACCTCAAACAGAAACCTCACCACCTCCCTAAAGATTTGACACAATGTTCCAAGAGCATATAATAGTCATAGTTGGCATGCAGCAGTATTTGATACTTTAGTATCCAGAGAAACAGGTGTATTCTGGGAGTGTGAATAAAATTGAAATTAATCTCCTGGTCCTTGAGGCTAATTGACGGTAACTTAACTCAAGCCATGGATCTGTTAGTGTCTTTTCTGTAATATATCTTAGCCTCTGTGCATCTGCTGTATGTAGTACCTTATAAGGACTGTTTCCAGAGTTGCATGGTATAATGTCCTGTAATTAAATATGAATGAATACAATTGTGTATAAAATAAGGAGGAGTTTTCTCCAGAGATAAATGGTGGTATCCCTTCCTGTCACGCAGTGCTGCACTGACATTGATTGGAAGGTCTTTTGTCAGTTGTGGTAGTTAATGTTAGCAAAGAATATATCACTGATGCAGCTTTGCATGTACTTCAGCATTTAAGCCTAAACATTTAACACAAACCTTCCTAGGAAGTAAATATGGTTAGGGGAAAGTAACTTAAACAGCCTATGATGTTGCCCTCTTATCAAGCTTCATATTTATACAATGCAGATTGGGTTAAATGGCATGCACATTTGTGAAACAGCAGGACGTTTTCTGGGAAACCTCAGAATAAGGAACTAAAAATGAGAAGTTGCAGAGACTTGGAATATGAAATTTAGCAGAGGGTGAATCCAAAGTGATTTTGATGTGACAGCAGACCCTCTCTAGGCATTTTATTTATGCTTATCTATCTTATAAAGAAGGGGTATAGACTCTGACTGAAAAGAAAATGGCTCATGTCATTTATACAGATTTGCCTTCTTGCTTAAAAATGTCTAGTAAAGTGCAGCATGACGTATCAGGAAATTTATTCTCGTTTATTCCAGTAATGATGGCAGGGTTTTGAAATAAGTTTCCTGGTGCGTAGGCCTAGTCGTTAGATTGATTTTTATCTATATTTCTATCACCTCTCCTGTTTGTATCTAGAATTACCACATGGCACCGGATATAGCTATTAATTAAGAGACAGTGTTTGCATTTTCAGGCGTTGTGTGGTGTATATTGGGTGTGCTCATTAAAACTCAAAAAGTAAATATGAAACATAAAGATGTTTTGGCTGCCGAGAAAAGACTCGTCGTAGCAGTCGGAGGTTGTTTTTGGATATCCGTTCATCTTCTGTAACCATTTATCAAACACGGAGTTTCATTGAGCCTCTCTTATGCACCCTGGAAGGGACGCCAGCCAATCACAGAGGTCCACGCACAAAGGGGAAATTGGAGGGGCCAAGTCATCAAAATAGCATGTCTGGACGGGACGGGAATCAAATGTACCCACATAGCCACTGTGTCATTTTGTTGTTTTTATGCTGACCTGATGTTCAGAATTCATTTTCACTCTTCTTCCATTAGCTAGATGAGGGTTGCCTTTGCTCTCTATCAATGTATTTAATTTAATATTTCAGTATATGCCTTTTTGTCAGGAAGTTTAGACACTTGTTGGACAACTAAAAGTTTTCACGGAGTGCAAAATGCCGCCGAGGCCATCATCGGGAGAGCTATGGGGAATCCATTTGATGCCCCCACGGATTCTGGTGGACTGTCTTCTGCCCAATGGGATGATCGTCGCGTTGGAGTGCCTCCGAGAGGCCACGCTTATCACCATTAAGCATGAACTTTTCAAAGAAGCACGGAAGTACCCTCTGCATCAGCTGCTACAGGAGGAGACGTCCTACATCTTCGTCAGTGTCACCCAGGAAGCAGAGAGGGAGGAGTTTTATGATGAAACCAGAAGACTTTGTGATCTCAGGCTCTTTCAGCCTTTCCTAAAAGTTATTGAACCTGTTGGTAACAGGGAAGAGAAGATTCTGAACAGAGAAATTGGTAGGTCTCCCGCTTTCTCATGGAAAGTTGAATTCATATTATTGATACATGTGACCACTTATTTGCCTTATTAAATGTATTAATCCAAGTTAACTTTATTCAGAACTTTCTTGTTCTTTTAACCACTATACTAATCATTGACATACATGAATGAATTTAATAATAGTGTAAAATGAAACTTGACGATCACTTAAATTTTTATTTACAGTTACACAGAGCCACTTGCATAACCCCTTAGTCATCGAAATCAGACTCTGAAAATGACTCGGGAAATCAGTTTTTGGGATTTGTCCTTGTAGTGAATAGTGTGTATTTTTGGCAAATGAATGGTAAAGCCATTTTAGCCTGTTATCTGTCTGAACTGAAATATCAAAATACCTACACCTTGTGACAGATTGTGACAAACTGTCATAAGGGATTTTTAAAAATTAATTAGCTTGCTGTCTCTCAGTACAAACATATTACTGCTGTCAACATTTGAAATTTATCTTGCAGGGTTTGCAATCGGTATGCCTGTATGCGAGTTTGACTTGGTGAAGGATCTTGAAGTTCAGGACTTCAGGAGAAACATCCTGAACGTTTGTAAAGACGCAGTGGACCTCAGAGATGCGAATGGGCCTCACAGTCGCGCGTTATACGTTTACCCTCCCAACGTTGAATCTTCATCAGAACTTCCAAAACACATCTACAATAAACTTGATAAAGGTAATTCAACCAGACAAAGCAACTGTACAGTAGCTCCAACTAACTGTTAACATAATAACTGAGGCAAATTCTTTAACTGTAGTTAGTCATACTGTACCTATAAAAATTGTAAAACTGAGTAAAACGGAAGTAAAACATATTGAGTGAAAGATATGTGAACATATTTTATAATATGAATTGCAATAACAGGAATTTAAGGTTGCATGCATTTGTAGCTGACAGATATTTAATATTTTGTCTTTAGGTCAAATAATTGTTGTGATTTGGGTAATAGTCTCCCCCAACAATGACAAGCAGAAATATACACTCAAAATCAACCATGACTGTGTTCCTGAGCAAGTGATAGCAGAGGCTATCCGCAAGAAGACCAGGAGTATGCTGCTGTCGCCAGAACAGCTCAAGATGTGCGTGCAGGAGTACCAGTGCAAGTACATCCTCAAGGTTTGTGGCTGTGATGAGTACCTGCTGGAAAAGTACCCCCTGAGTGAATACAAGGTAAGCCACGTTAAATAGGACGCTTTTCTGGTGTCTCACACGATCGGCTCAGTCGTTTTTTTTTTTTGTGACATCCCCTAGGTATGACTGTGGTAATTCTATAAAGTGATAATTCCATTGTTGTTTTTCACATGTAACTGTAATGATATATTTAGAATGTATTGAATAGCAGTTTACAGTGATGGCAGCCATTTTTGTGTTTACGCTAACATATTTCAGTATTTGTTGCATCATATGTACTGTATGTGTACATCTCTCTCTCAGTACATAAGGAGCTGTATTATGCTCGGTCGGATGCCAAACCTAATGTTAATGGCGAAAGAGAGCCTCTACTCCCAGTTACCCATGGATACGTTCACCATGCCATCCTACGCCCGCCGCATCTCCACTGCCACACCCTACATGAATGGCGAGGCCTCCTGCAAGACCCTGTGGAGTATCAGCAGCACCCTGAGGATACGGATCCTCTGTGCGACATACGTCAACGTAAACATTCGAGACATAGATAAGGTACATATGTGTTTGTTTTTCCTTTTATGAATTTAGTCTTACCAAAAATACTATTACCGACGAGTAAAATTTTCAGGCTATTCAAGTAGGTTCTTCTCTGTTTAATTTCTGTGTTCCAGCAAAGAGTTTATAAATCAAAAAAAATACAGATGAAATTAAAACTTAGATAATGAAATGTAATGAAGTCCTCTGAGTGTAATGTTGGTGAAGGGTTCACTCAGTGATCTGCTCCCATATTGCAGATTTACGTGAGGACTGGAATATACCACGGGGGAGAGCAGATGTGTGACAATGTGAACACACAGCGTGTGCCGTGTTCTAACCCGAGGTATCATGCTGTGAGGCGCAGTGAATCCTGTCTGTACTCAAATAGAAGTTTATGATTCATTTTCTGAACAGTATGAGCTATGTCTGCAGCCATGAAAGGCAACTAAAATGATAATGATGAAATAATCTGTGTAACCGTCGCTTTTCACAGGTGGAATGAGTGGCTCCAGTATGACATGTACATCCCCGATATTCCCCGTGCGGCTCGTCTCTGTCTTTCTATCTGCTCTGTCAAAGGAAGGAAAGGGGCGAAAGAGGTAAATAATCTAGCAGTGGTGGTTGTTTCGTGACTCCTAAGGGCAGTAAATAGTATGAGTTTTTCATGTGAAGACTCTTGGATTGTGGGCTGAGGGTTTATTTCAGACAGATTCTATCATTATTTTCCTGTGGTATTTTTCTGTGAATCATTCTGCTGATCTGCATGCTGTGGTTTTTGATCCGTCAGCAGAGATCACACCACCAGAGAAAAATGTACAGTAGATGTTTGATATTAGCTTCTCTCTCTCTCTCTCTCAGGAGCACTGTCCACTTGCATGGGGGAATGTGAACCTCTTTGATTATACACATACTCTTGTCTCGGGGAAAATGGCACTCAACCTATGGCCAGTGCCTCATGGGCTTGAAGATCTCCTTAATCCGATAGGTGTCGCAGGATCCAACCCAAACAAGGTAAATGAGTCACGGCAGTTATTCGATATGGGCATTTGTAAATGTAATGTGAGTCTAATGGAATGTGTCTCTTAGGAAACTCCTTGCCTTGAGCTGGAATTCGATTTCTTCAACTGCCCAGTGAAGTTCCCAGACATGGCAACAGTCGAGGAACATGCAAACTGCACCATATCCAGAGAGCTCGGCCTCAATTATTGCCAGTCCGGACTGGTATGTCCATAGGTTGATACTGTTGTCTAACACAAACTTTAAGATAATCACTGAGATGTTTTAAATTGACATAGATGCAATCTTTACCCAAAACAATATGAGGTTATCAGAAAATGACAAACTGTAGGTGTTTAACCTTATAGAATAGTGTTATCATGAAATTCGTAACAAAAATAAAATAGGTAGAGACATGTCTGTGATGTGTTTTCACTCTCCATTGGCGTGATCTTTAGATAAGCTTCCTGATTTCCTCTATAGAGCAATAGATTGGTGCGAGACAATGCTCTAACAGACAATGATACGGAGCAGCTATGCCAGGTGTGCAACAGAGACCCTCTATCTGAGATCACTGAGCAGGAGAAGGACTTCCTGTGGCGACACCGGTAACATACATGCCTGCATTATTTACATCCGAGAGAGAGGCTCTTATTGAAGCTATTAATCATTAAATGACCTTTATCTCTTCTTTTCTTCCCTAGATATTATTGTGTGAATATGCCAGAAATTCTGCCTAAGATCCTGCTTGCAGTAAAGTGGAACTCAAGAGATGAAGTAGCACAGGTCAGCCGAACAAAATGTTAACTGGCTTTTATGTTAGCTGTTTTTAGTTGATTTTTCTGCACTAGCTATCCATCCATCTTTAATAACCATTATCCCATACTGGGTCACGGTGCAGTTAGCTGTGAAATATAAATTGTGTAAATGTATTTGTGCAATGTTTTATGGAAGTTTTTATGATGTAATATATTCTTTCTTGGGGTTGGTTGATCTATGTATGAGGTATGCTATATATAGCACAGTTTTAACAAACACAGTTTCCATGAACCTGGTTGTATTGCAGTAAGTTTCTTTTCTATCCTAGTTATTTTAATATGTTTACCACAAATCTAGCTTGGATACTTAATTAAAGCTTAACCCACAGAGCTTGATAATACAGATTATGCTTTCTGTGTTTCAGATGTATTGCCTTCTGAAAGACTGGCCAGCAATAAAGCCAGAACAAGCCATGGAATTGCTGGATTGCAACTACCCAGACCCAATGATCCGGGATTTTGCTGTTAGGTGTCTTGAGAAGTATCTGACAGATGACAAACTCTCACAGTACCTCATTCAGCTTGTACAGGTAATGCACATTTCATTTGCAGTTTTAAGCAGTCTGTGGGTCTTGGGGTCAAATTCACATCAAGTTTTGCTGTTGCCAGCTTGAAATGTTCTGCACTACAAGCGATCATAAGGGTATAAAAATGAAACCTTTGATTTGTTTTTATTTTGATTTTTTGTTTTGTTAAGGTCCTAAAATATGAGCAGTACCTCGATAATCCACTGGTGCGATTTCTGCTTAAAAAAGCCTTGACTAATCAGAGGATCGGACACTTCTTTTTTTGGCACTTGAAGTGAGTTTCTTTGTTTGATTTGAAGTGGATTTATATAATATATACATTTTAAGAGTTTTATACACCATATACTTTGACTTAGCTTTCCAATAAGCTGATCCTGGCTAACAGCAGATCATAAGCGACTGTATCGACCCAGGTTGTGTAACAAAAAATGTGGACTGTTATAAGAATTTCACTGTGGATATATTATCAAGCTGTTATATAGTGAGCGTGAAAAAGTATGAGTGTAAAGAAAAACCAGATTGATGTGCTACACTGGTGGTAAACACAGGATTAAACATAAGTGCAGTAGTAGCTATATTGCACATGATGTAGGAAAGTACCTATGCATCTGCTTTCAGTTTGTCACTCCGGGGAATTTGAACTGACAATACCCAAGCTCCTATCTTTTGTTGGCCTACGTCACTTAGGTCTGAGATGCATAACAAAACAGTGAGCCAACGCTTCGGGCTGCTGCTGGAGTCTTACTGCAGAGCATGTGGGATGTACCTGAAACACCTGAGCAGACAGGTGGAGGCCATGGAGAAGCTGATAAACCTCACAGACATCCTCAAGCAGGAGAAAAAAGATGAGACACAGAAGGTAATACCGCCCCTTTCAAAGATCTATGGCAGTGTTTCCCAGTCCGGTCCTCGGGGACCCACAGACAGTCCACATTTTCGCTCCCTCCCATCTTTGAGGAGGGAGCAAAAACATGGAATGTCTGTGGGTCCCCGAGGACCAGATTGGGAAACAATGATCTAGGGGAGGCTACAGTATATACTGGTATAGGTCTGAACACACTGCTTTTCCATCAAACTTCCTCTGGGTCTTCTTTCTGCAGGTACAAATGAAGTTTTTAGTGGAACAAATGAGAAGGCCAGACTACATGGATGCGCTGCAGAGCTTCACATCCCCACTAAACCCTGCACACCAGCTAGGAAACTTACGGTACATTGGGATTATCCATTATTCCATCTTTCTGTGTCTGTGGCACATTTGCATCCGTTTTTGCGGGTCATGCTGTAGTTGGGTGACCAGATAGTCCATGTCAGGGAGGACACTTTGAACTACTTCAGGTTTTGCAAACTACTGTAAAATTTCCTGTGCTTGGCTAAGTAGTTAATTTCTTCTTGTGCTAGGACTCAATGCTTAAGTGCAGTCCAGGTCCTTTTAAGTGAATTGGTAGTTTAAAAATCATATCCTAGCTCGAGGTGTCCTCCCTGCATGGATTATCTGGTTTCCCTAGCAGTAAGATTTGAGAGACATACAATAATTAAAACACATAATTCACTGATAAATATTAAATCAATGTGGTGATTTAGCAGTGCTGTTTTTTTGCTTCAGATATGAGCCAAAACCCACACAGATCAAGTACAATATATCTTGAAATTTTAAGAGGAAAAAAGATCATCAAATAATGGTCATGTTACCAATTAGAGCACATTGTGAATAAGGTATAATTTGGTAAAAAATGTGTGCACTACTATTGTAATACCGCAGTGTGTTACATTCATGTATTCATTACTTTATGGTTTGACTCTTCCAGACTTGAAGAATGCAGGATTATGTCATCTGCCAAAAGGCCCCTGTGGCTAAACTGGGAAAACCCCGATATCATGTCGGAGCTTCTCTTCCAGAACAATGAGATCATCTTCAAGAATGGGGATGGTAAATACAATTTTGTACAGCCAATAAGTACTACAGATTGTAATAGTTGTGACAGTTATTGAATATTACATTTACGTGTTTGTGCATTGTGTATAATATATAAATATTTTTTCCCCCCAAGATTTACGGCAAGACATGCTAACTCTCCAGATTATCAGAATAATGGAGAACATTTGGCAGAATCAGGGTCTTGACCTCAGGTAATATTTTTAGAGGCTTTAAATGAATAAAATAAATAAAGGATATACCTATTTCTCAACAATTTAAAAGCTGAAGAAAGTCAAAAACCTGTGAAGCTAATTTTGTTCTAATTTTTGTCTGTAAGAATGCTGCCCTATGGTTGCTTGTCAATCGGTGACTGCGTGGGACTCATTGAAGTGGTGAGGAATTCCCACACCATTATGCAGATCCAATGCAAGGGTGGCCTGAAGGGGGCGCTGCAGTTCAACAGCCACACTCTTCACCAGTGGCTGAAGGACAAGAATAAAGGGGAGATGTGAGTAAAACCATATCATGTCAGCATTTGATAATCAGTGTTTCATTGAGGGGGAAAACATCTCATTATTCATCTGTGTTTTTAACCTTTTTATGTGGTAGGTATGATCTGGCCATTGATTTGTTTACAAGGTCCTGCGCTGGTTATTGTGTAGCTACCTTTATCCTCGGGATTGGGGACAGACACAACAGTAATATCATGGTAAAAGATGATGGACAGGTAAGATATCTCTTAGATCTTGTGGTGCTTTGAGGAGGAGTCAAGATATGGGAATTGAACAATGTAATTCTCTCTATTGTCTTTTCGAATAGCTTTTTCATATCGATTTTGGACATTTCCTGGATCATAAGAAGAAGAAGTTTGGCTATAAACGAGAACGAGTGCCATTTGTTTTAACCCAAGACTTTTTAATAGTGATCAGCAAAGGAACACAAGAGTGCACTAAGACCAGAGAATTTGAGAGGTATGTCACATCTTTCCAATCCACATTATCAATTTGCCTTTTGTCATGAATGCTTTGTGAGTTGACATGAACATTTTGAATCTCTCCTGAATTAGTTGTTCTTGACAAATGGCATTGAAAGTAGCTGGAGCAAAATAACCCTCAGTAGTCTGTTCTAGTCACATTTTCCTACAAAATGCTACATTTCCTGGGTGTACTCAGTTTTTGAGGAGTCGGGTTGTCTCTTAAACTGTGTTCACTGCAGGTTTCAAGAGATGTGCTACAAGGCTTACCTTGCCATCCGACAGCATGCAAACCTCTTCATCAACCTCTTCTCCATGATGCTGGGCTCGGGCATGCCTGAGCTACAGTCCTTTGATGACATTGCTTACATCCGGAAGACCTTGGCTCTGGACAAAACGGAACAGGAGGCTCTAGACTACTTCATGAAGCAGATGAACGATGCACATCATGGTGGATGGACAACAAAGATGGACTGGATCTTCCACACGATTCGACAGCATGCTTTGAACTGAGATAGACATGGGCATTGGAGCAACTGGATATCAGATTCCAGTCAGCCGCAAATGGTGCATTCAGACCTAGGAAACATCAGGTGACGACCCCACTTTATTGATGAAACACTATAAACAGTCTTTTTTTAAAACCTACAGCATCCAAAAAGCCTGTTGTCTTGTAGGGGGTGGGGGCTTCTGCATCCATGGCAAATGGTTATTGGGTTTGCCTGTGGTTTTGTTAAAGAGGGACTTTCCTCCCCCCCGCCCCCACTTACTTGCTGCTTCAACCTGGGGAACGCCCAGGAGTATATTGTCATGCCCTTTATTAAAATAAAATTAAAAATAAACAAAACAGTAACGCACCTCTAATTTTCAGAAGGTCTGGGGATATGGATGTCTTCCTCTAAGTTTTATGCCTTTAAGTATGCACAGAAAATAGAAACTGTTAAGCGAAACAGGGTAGAATTTTGTTTTTGGTTCATGTGTTTGAACAGAAAGTGAAGTCACTAAACATGAGGTCCCTATGCTCCGTACAAGGTGACAATAGTGACACCTTGAGGGAGCTACTGGCATTGCACACGTCGATCCTGAGAGCATTAAAGACTTAACATGATTTTCTTTTGAGCCTAGATTATTACGTTTTAGTGAAGATGATGAATACTGGAAGTGCTATTAAAACATTTTGCTGTTTAGAAAGCCTTAACTGATTTGCAGTGAGAGTGTCTCAGTCCATTTGGTGTCTCCGTGCTTCACACCAGTGCAGTGATTTTAGACCTTACAGTTAAGCTTTGTGTCCATTACGTAATGTCAAGGGTCTGCTGTGATGAATGTTGGAAATTGCAGTAACATGACTTGCCCATTTCCTGATGAAGCAGTTTTCTGAATTTATGTTTTGTTATTTTATTATTTTATTTTGCTAATGTGCATGTACAGAGACATAAATTTGCAAAAAAAAAAAAAAAGCTGGATTTTTGGGTTACATTTTGTCAGGGAATTCTGAATTTTAAACCGTGGGTACTGATTTTTTCAATATTATCAGTTTCCTTTACAAATACAGCATTTACTGCCTCACACTTTAAATCTATCATTTTGTTTAATAGCTCTACAGGTACATTGAAGATTATTCATGTAGAAAGAGCAGTTTCATTTCTTGACAGGAAGATGCAGGAATGTGTTCTGAGGGTCTCCACATTCTGCTGCTGCCTGAATACTTATTTATTGCCCTTCTACATAGCTCTCCCCATCCACTGAAATACATTTAAAGGGATATGGAATTGCTATTATTTTGTTACTGAAAACTATTTAGATATCTCCTGATATAAGAATGTATTTCATGTCATATTTCTTTACTTAGTTTCTTTCAAATTTATATAGGTTCAATAAAATATAATTTTATATATGAGGATTAACTGTTAAAGGGGCAGTAGGTGAACACTTGGAGGTTACTTGGCGTGTTGTTGAATTTCTCATGGGGCTGAAAAACGCAGCCAGATTAGCTTCTGAAAATTCTTTTCACCCAGAATGTCAGGATATTGAGAATAGTGCACTAACATTGGGGGAGAAATTATTTTATTAGTGCCACTTTACAATAAGGCTTCCATTATAAAGGGTTTATGAATGGTTTATAATCTGGTTATTAATTAGGTTATAGCACTTTGTAAATTATTAAGACAGTTTTAAACAAGTTATAACAGTTTTCTTTTTATTAATGAGTTACTACCATTTACAAGTGGCAAAAGGGAGTCTTATTGTAAAGTGATACCTTTTAATTTTTTATCCTGATTTGCCCCTTACACCTATTCTCAAACATTACCTGCTCTACATTAACTACTAGAAGATACAATGAGAAGAGGAAGAATGTAACTGTGTTACCATATTACATGTTCAGTGAGGTTATACATTTCCAAATAGACATGGTACATATACTCGGTCCACCAACACCATTAGTGTTTGCAGTTATGCACTTTGTATTTTTTTAATATTCTTTCCTAAAGACCCTGCAGTTTCCCTCACGCATGTTTAAACAATGTCATTCATTTGCTACATACTATCTTAAATGGGTCAATCTTTTTGAAGCTTATAATGGTGAGTGGCATTATGATGGCTTTTATTGCATGGTTTGCAAGTGATGTGTATTGTTTTATTTTCTGTACAGGTTACAGACAATGGTGGGCTGGGCCCATCTGAAAAACCTCTAAATGCTATTTTCACCTGATTTTTTTATATACATATATTAACTTCCATGATGCAGCTTTACTTGAACTTGTTTTTATGACCCACCTTTTTGCTGTAATAGAGGACATGTCATTGTATAGCCTAGCATTGAACATTGGTTAATCTAGGCAATTTCATACCGATTGTGAATGTTTCAAACCTCTCAATGCAGTTAGGGACACTAAAAATTTACTTTTTTTTGGGAACTTAGGCCAAACTTTAAAGTAAAGGGAGGTAACGGATCAACATTTCAGAACAGCTAGGAGATATATTGAAAGACTCAAGTATATATACAGTTTTACATTATAGGTAACATACATTATTGTTTTGACAAACTAAGGCCCAGTATACATTTTCATAGCGGTTTTAAAACATTATCGTTACTACTTCAACTATTAATACTACTATGCTACTCCTACTATTGAATATGTCATGGGCCAAATGTAGGTGGCACAGAACCTTCATGCATGCAAGTCAGTTGCTGCTTTTTCTTTTTTATCCTGCTAAAGCTTTATAGGATGTTTGGCCTAAGACTGCACTCTGTAGTAAACCATTTATTCAATTTTAACTGCTACCAAATAAAAGCCTGTCTTTTCAGTTACAAACTGTCTGTTCCATTGTGTATTTAAAGTTGCTTTGTATGGAGTCTCTGATGAGTGTTGTGTAATTATGTACAAATAAAATTATTTCAGATAACTTATGTTTCATTGACGTTAAACGTATATAATGTCATCCTCATTCTGTTTTTTTCTTTAATATATATATTTTATTTTTAAGAAAGGCAGTGAGTATTTTGATGGATAATGTCAGTTTAAAGTTCAGGAATTATGTCACTGTATAATTGTGAAAGGTACTTAAACTGAAGTGCTGCTATAAAATACCAACTAAAATAACTTTTTGGATATGCCTTTCGCAACTGAAACCCAGAAACTCTCTTGCTTTGGCTAGTACAACTATGACCTTGATAGTGAAGACTAATCTCTAAGTAAAGTTGTCTTAGTTAATCCTTCACTGTGTCATACTTTACATCCATCTTAAAAATTGTGCCATGATACTTTGCCAGTGCTTCTGCCACGTGTCTTCAAGCTATGTTCATTTTCTCTATGGCGTCTAGTCCAATTTCTATAAACATTGTCATTTGATGCTACCAGCATAGGCTAATAATGATATAATTTGACATGATAAAACCTTCCAATGTTAATGTATAGTAATAAAGAGGGGGAACACACACACACACACACACAGATCGGCCATTACATTAATACTACTGACAGGTGAAGTGAATAATGATGATTATCTTATTACAGTGGCACCTGTCAAGGCAAGTGAACAGTCAGTTCTTGAAGTTCATATGTTAAAAGCAGGAAAAATGGGCAAGTGTAAGGATCTGAGTGACTTTGACAAAGGCCAAGGTGTGATGGCTAGATGACTGGGTCAGAGCATCTCCAAAACGGCGAGTCTTGTCGGGTGTTACTGCTATGCTACCAAAAGTAGTCCAAGAAAGACGAAATGCTGAACACTTTGACTCAATAACTATAGAGTTCCAAACATCCTCTAGAATTAACTCCCACACAAAAACTGTGCCGGGAGCTTCATGGAAATGGCTTCCATGGCCAAACAGCCGCATGCAAACCTCACATCACCAAGCATAACGCTGAGTGTCAGATGGAGTGGTGTAATGCACACTGCCACTGGACTCTGAAGCAGTAGAAATATGAAGTGACAAATCATGGGTCTCTGGCAGTCTGATGGATCAGTCTGGGTTTGGCAGATGCCAGGAGAACGTTACCTGCCTGACTGCATTTTGCCAATTATAAAGTCTGGTGGAGGAGTGATAATGGTGTGGGGCTGTTTTTCAGTGGTTGGGCTAAGCCCCTTAGTTCCATTGAACTCTTGAACTTCAGCATATCAAGACATTTTGATACTTCTATGCTTCCAAATGAAGACATCACATTCTCACGTACAGCCACAATATCAGGTAACTGTCAGCTAAGACAATGCAAAAAAGTAATTATGCATAGTTAATAAGACAAAATTAAGACAATATACTATAACATATAACAAAATATCTTTAAACCAAGAAACAGTGCAGTTTGGTGTTTCAACAGCTCACATATGCTGAAAGCAACTCTGCTGTTGAATGGGATGAATTCATTGCTGAAAATCAGTCCCAATATTCAATGTCTAGGATACATCCGACAGTAATCATGACGAACGAAACCAATCCCATGATTCGTTGCGCCCCAAGTTCGTTCTTGGAAGACAAGTTAGCAACACCGGTATTAAAAAATTCACAAGTATTATCTTTGCGTTGTTGGTACTGAGAAAAAACTTGGGTTTTTCCAAGAACGCAACGATGGCGGGACAAGAACAGTTAATTACGCATATTGAGAAATACCATAGTCATCCAACAGGAATCACGGGACTGATGCGAAGCCTGATTGGAAGAAAGGAAATCCAATTTTAAAGCCTTCGTGCCTTGCTGGAAAAAAATGTGTCCATCTTAGCGTTTGTCCTTGTTTCTCGACCATAATGAAACAAATAGTTTCACTTATTTAGACGGAATCTCTGTCCGATTTTATTACTCAGGGACTGCATGCAAACACGTGTTATTTATCAAGAACTGTAAGTTCACTGTTGTGTCGAAACAAGGGGGAAATAGTTTCAGCATTATCTTTTATGTGCATTAACAGCTTGAGAAAGCATTACACTACACACAAACACAGTGCATGTTTGCATACATGACGAATAACACTAGAACTTGGGGAGAAAAACACGCGACGTTATACAGCTATGCATCTATTTATTTCTAAAAACTATATTTGCAACCTGCTTACTAAAAGGTTGTAAATGCAAAGGTTGTAAATTTACCTTTATTTTCCACAGCCAAGGTAAAAGCCGCTTGTAAGTGCGGCGACCGGAAGTTGCTTCAGTCGACTTGGGAGATCGAAAGACGGCTGGATACCGGCGCCGGTCCCGATCCCGGTAATGACGGAGGCGCGCTTGTTTACCTGCAAATTCCCACTTGGGTGGATCCTTATTTCTGTAGTTGTTGTAGTTGACGGGTCATATAAGCAGTTACGCTGACAGAAAGAGACGTTCCGTCTGTGATTTTTTAAAATTAGCTGCAAGTTAGACACATATATGTATGTAGGCTATGTATGTATGTATGTGCCGCGTATCACATATACCAATTAGCATCGGGGTTTTATTATACGATACTATTTGCTAGCTACTAATGCCCTGTATTTATTGCGAGATTTTGTAATTGGATGCACAGCCTCCTTAATCTGGGCGACCACACGGGTATCGCCATAATCCGCATTTGCCTTTATACATATACAGATTTCATCTGAAGGGTAAATGCGATGCTTTAACCCATTTGGCGAATAATGGATTATCGGCGGAAGAAGAAGCTAACGTTTTTTACTATTGGGTTAATCTTTCTTCTTAGTGGAATTGAATATGGTAAGATTGTTATTATTTATTATTATTATTATTGTTGTTGTTGTTGTTGTTTCCATTTAACTAACTGAAATCAAACAATGCTGCATACAGCATTTTCGGTCCTCCTGTTAGTAACTCTTGATCCTAATCACTGAGATAATACGTGATATAAACGGGGGTTTAAATGTAACCTAATATCACTTTTAAAATTAACCATAACCGTACGTCAACTTAATGCGTATTAGTAAAGTGTAGGCTGACACGCACGATACAATATAAATCAGTATAATACCCTAATTATTATAGGATTTATTTAACTATACAAATAAGTTATTTTGTTTGACCTTTTGTGAGGGAATATGGGACTGTAATACGTACAATGACATGTTTGCCTGGTATAAGGTTGGGGATCATATGTTCTTATTATCATGGTTTAATAATGACTTCTCAGGATAGTAAACTATAGTTAAAGGACTAATATTACAGCAGTGTCTTGGCTGACTAACCTTAAATTTAATCTGCGAATAATGTATTTGCGAATTATTTGTGGAAATAAAATATTGGCTGCTAACTACAAATATGGCTAAATCTTAACATGTTGTCTGGCGAGGGGAAAAACGACGAAGTTGCCAAATTATTAGCTAGGGCAAGTTGGGTATAAAACATCTAGATTTCTCATTATTTGTACAAAGTCTGAAAATCAGCAATAAATAACCACACTCGTGCACTAATTCGAGAAACATTGTTAACAGTATTGTTCGACTATTCTCACAGTATTCGCTGTAATTTTAACTATCGTACATACAATGTGAGCACTCATAGTTGTTAGGTGTTTTGATTTGATATGTTGCAGGCAGTACTTTTTGACCTTTCCCAATATTTCAGATGATTTGTTTGTATACATACATATTTGTTATAGTGTTGTTACTAACTTTGCCTTGATAACTTTTGGCTTTCAACTTTTCTCCTGCTTGTTTTCTCTAGTTCCAGGATGACAAATGTCACCTTCCTTACCATCTTCCCTCTGTCATAATCTATTTGCAGTCTGCACACTTGCAGCTTGGTTTCATGGTGTACCAGGAATGAATTGTTTTTAGTTTCTCGTAAGAGTGTCAGTAAGTCTATTGTTTTTCTTCTGGCCATTGGTTGCAACAAAATGAATGTCTTCCTGTCTACAACAAAAGGTAAATGTATATAAATAAATTTGTTATAACCTGGGCCCCTCATTGTATCCCCAGCATTGTTATAAACTTCAGTGGATGGGAATGAAGCTCATTCTGAGATGCTTTAGATAAGGGTTAACTGAATTAACTATAGATCAGCAGTAAACAACTTTGTTTTTTAAGATTTGCCTCAGTGTATAATTCATTTAGCTAGTTTGATCGCAGTAAAATACCTAAACATTGTTCAAACTTCTAATCACTTTTCCAGTACTGAGTCGGGGGGGTTGAGTCTAAGCCAGGCAGCACAGCCCACATGTCAGTGGAAATCCAATTGTGGATCAAATTATAGGAGGTATTTCTTGCAAAAAAAAAAAAGGAGATGAAAATGCTAAAATGATAATACAGCCTCCACCGCGGGTCCGTGGGCAGAGATATGCATCACTGCTGCGCTTTCTAAGTGCGTTTGCTTGCGTTGTCGTTGTTCCTTCTGCATTGTCGCCCGAAGTAATGCTATAGTCACACGTGGCTCAAGTTAGCTACTTATTTGCAGCTTCTTATTCGTGGTGTCTCATTTCGCGGTTTAAGTTAGCTTCTTATTCCCGGCTTCCTTAGAGGGGAGTGTTTGCGGCGGCACGTATTGCGTAGTTTATAGTTAGGAGATTTTGAAAATAAGAAATAACGTGTGAATAAAACGTTAAACGCATATTTATTTCATATGTGAATTTCACAAAACACCCTGCTTTGAAAATAGTGGAATTACCCCGGCATAATGTGATTTTTATTTCGTATCAGTAAACTGGTCGCATGACACGTCGAGCAATTGTACGCACTGATTTCAAAAAGAAGTCGCATCTTCAGATAGATCATGACCAGGCAGATATTAAATGCGCAGTACACAGCAGGCACGCCACTGGAAGGACACATGAAATTAGCCTGGGCCAGATTGGTTTTATGCCTGAAAAACGCTGGAAACATGGCAGTCTGGGCTAGGCTAATTCCAGTGTTTTCTTACAGTGGCGCACCTGCTTCAACATGCAAGTCAAGTTAGAGAATGAAATGGCAAAAAAGAAAATTATTTCATCATCTTCTAGTTTTTTACAAATGATTGGAAAATTAAAGTGCAAACGGTGTTAATTTTAATTCTTTTTTACACGAGCATTTCGCAGTCTTTGAAAACTAAATGCAAAATGGAGATTGTATTTCCATTTTATCATTAACACATTTGATTAGGTTCAGAAATAAACGTGTAATAAAATCTAAAGTGTTTGTGCTACATATATACATTCAGTTTTGATATAATTTATTTACTTAGCAATTCAGAAAAAATGTGCAAATAATTTTTTAAGGAGCAGAATTCCTTCCACAAACACTTGTGTTTTATGTTTCTGCGGGGTGTCCTATTACTTAGAAAACATACTGAAGCTTAAGCTAATTTTCAGTAATGACATCATGCTTTCAATAATTACTCTGGTTGGTCATGGCACAGAAGAAGAAATACTCTGGTTGGTCAAGGCACAGAAGAACAATTATTCTGGTTGGTCATGGCACAGAAGAAGAATTATTCTGGTTGGTCATGGCACAGAAGTAGAATTATTCTGGTTGGTCATGGCACAGAAGAAGAAATACTCTGGTTGGTCATGGCACAGAAGAAGAATTATTCTGGTTGGTCAAGGCACAGAAGAAGAATTACTCTGGTCATGCATTGTGTTGATGGGCCTCTAGCTTCTAGGCAGTGGTTTGCTGAGCCAAAGATCTCTGCCCAGTGAGGACTCCGTACCCTGCCCTGCCCTGCTAGCATATTCATCTTCTCCAGGCGTGATAGGGACCCGTGACCCTGGATACTGCAGCTTGTATTCCTTGGGTTAATGTTACAGTATGTCATTTAAAAAGCAGGCAAATGGGGAATGTTGCTGTTCTTTTGTTTTGTCAACAAACTGCGCAAATAGGATTTAAAAACCTGAATTATTCATGAATTGCACTAATAACGGCTGCTGTTGAATAACAGATGGATTTATGCATTTATGCTTATGAAAGCTATCACATAACTGTAATATTAATAATAATATCAATTCGAACAACGATGAATTAATAATATTAATTCAAATCCTTCCTAGTTGAAGAACAACAAAAATGTATTTGTTCTCAGTGGAAATTTCAGGGTTTTCTTAACCTTTTTGTAGCACTAATTAAATCCTACTTTATCAGCAATATTTGCAATGGATGCAGTGTTTATCCTTTTTTATTGAAACAATTTGTATAAATGTATATATTACTTTTAATCAAAATGTTAAATTTTTGTGTCTATTTACTTGATGGTCTTTATTTGTCTTTACTGTAATACATATCACTGATGCCTTTCTGTGGCATCATTATTTGTAAAACCATTAAAAGTACAATGCCTGTCTCTCTGAAAACTTCACATCACATGATCTGGCCAAATATCAGTAAATGAGTAGGCATTGAGAAGTGTTGCATTTTTACATTGTGAATTGAAAGAATATATAATATCAAACTATAATGATCTTATTTTTCTTCCTTGAGGGGTTTACCTGTTAAGAAGACCTATTTATGTCTTTTTTTATATAAATCAATTTCAATTATTTTTATTACTTTGTTCACTGTGGAAGAAACAATGTTTTAAAAGAAACTAATTTTCCCATATTTTCTAATAGTTTACCTGTCTGATATTACTTATTTATACTATATTGCAAAAAGTATTGAGACACCTGCCCTTACACACACATTAACGTTAATGACATCCCATTCTTAAAACATAGGATTTAATATGGAGTTGGGCCACCCTTTGCAGCTATAACTCTTCTGGGAATTTTTGACCATTCTTCCAGGAAAGCATTCGTGAGGTCAGGCACTGATGTTAGACGAGGAAACCTGGCTCACAGTCTCCACTCTAATTCTTTCTGTCGGGTTGAGGTCATGGTTCTGTGCAGGCCAGTCAAGTTCCTCCACACCAGACTCACTCATCCATGTCCTTATGGACCTTGCTTTGTGCACTGGTGCTCAGTCATGCTGGAACAGGAAGGGACCGTCCCCAAACTGTTCCCACAAAGCTGGGAGCATGAAATTGTCCAAAATGGTCTGTAGCTATTTACTCTGCAGACAGTTGGCGACTTCTGCACACTGTGCACCTCAGCATGCATCCCCGCTCTGTGATGTTACGTGGCCTACCACTTCGTGGCTGAGTGGCTGTTGTTCCCAATTGCTTCCACTCGGTTTAAAATACCACTAACAGTTGAACATGGAATATTTAGTAGCGAGGAAATTTCACGAATGGACTAATTGCACAGGTGGCATCCCATCACGGTACCACGCTTGAATTCACTGAGCTCCTGAGAGTGACCCATTCTTTCACAAATGTTTGTAAAATCAGTCTGCATGCCTAAGTGCTTGATTTTATACACCTGTGGCTATGAAAGTGATTGGAACACCTGAATTCAATGATTTGGAGGCTTGTCCCAATACTTTTGGCAATGTAGTGTGTTTAGTTTGTTTATGTCATAACTTTTCAACAGTGTATTAGTGAAATAGATTACTTATTCACATTAAAATCTATCTACTGTTTAATTTTCATAGTTGTGTAATGATGTGAAAATTGAATCTTTGAAACCCATGTTCAGTATGATTGTTGTATACTGTCAATTAGTGACTCATTCAGCCCATTTTTCATTTGGCAGAATTGTCACTTAGTCTCAGGTTATATTAGACAATTACCTTTTTTGAACAAGGTAGATTTTTCATGGTTTAAAAGCTTCTTTTTTCCATCACTGTCTTAGCACTGTGAATTTAAGTATGTTTTAAAAAGCCGTCATGCTCCTGTTTGTGCCAGCAGTGTGTCGAACAGCTAGTCTTACTTTGGATAACAGTCAATACTTATTTTTTGAGTTTTATAGCAAGTTCTTTGCTTGATAAGCTAACTGAAAACTAATATTTGTATGACACTGTGGTTTCCCTTTTATAGCTGTAATTTTGCCAACGATATGGAGGTATCTTCAAATTCTTGGAGCTCCACCGTATTTCCTGGGACTGAGCCTGTCTGCGTTCAGTTTGAGCGGGCTGCTCGCGGGTCCCTTTTTTGGCCAGTTGTCAGACAGGACTCGCACTACCAAGAACATCATTCTGTTTGCAAATCTCTTCGAGGTTGTGGGTAAGCATTAGTGTGGATGATTGTAGCCTTTATGTAAGTAGGCTAAATCATTTTGCCTCTCTTACACTTAATTGAAACAACAACATCTCACCAAATTATGACTCAGAAACACTTCTTCGTTCTGAGTAGGTGAATCAGAGAACTGGTTTCTTTTGTAGAACATCACAGGAGAAATATACAGCTCATAGCCCAGTGAGGCATTTACAAGACACCGCTCTGAATGTGGCAGTAACTCTTAGTCTATTTTTT